TCCTGAGTGTGTGGCCAATCCATTTCCATTTTCTCTGGAGGATCTCTTTTTTATCTTTCAGTAAGATTGTCCGTTGCCATAGTACCCCATTGCTAATAGTTTTAGGCCAGCGTATTCGAATGATCTTTCTGAGACATGCGTTTATAAATTACTAGCGAAAGTCAGACGTAATATATAAGAAGGGCTTTCGGCAAGGTCTGGGAGCAAGGTTTATCAGGTATCTCATAACATGCTAAATTGGATTTAAAGGATACCTTACAACCGAAAAGCATCAGTCTCCATGCAAGGAAATAGAAGCCATACTGTAACTATAGTCTTGTTTTCTACTCTTTTCCTTATCAACATAAATGACTTAAATGAAAATATCTCAAGAGAATCAAAAGTAGCATGTTTGCAGATGACCTTTCATTTATCAGCACTGAAGAATAGATTGGTACTTCAAAATTTCGGCTCCATGAAACACTTGACAATTTCAGCAAATGTGCCAAAAACTGGGGAATACCTAGGAATCACTTTGATACTCGACTCACCTGGAGAAAGCAAACCCAAAACACCCAAAGTAAAGGAATCAAAAGACTTGCAGTAATGAGGAAACTGGCAGGCACAGACTGGGGAGCAAATCATCAAATCCTGAAAAAACCTACACCAGCTATTGAGACCTACATTAGAATATAGTGCTTCAGCTTGGGACTCAGCAGCTAAAACAAATATTAGCAAAATTGACAAATTTCGGAACATTGAATTGAGAATAATGACAGGAGCTATGAAAACAATGCCGATAAAAGCCATGGAAGAAACAGCTGCTCTAAGCTCAATAGAAAAAGAAGAGAATCAAAAATCTTCACCCAATACACAAAGCTGGAGGCACTGCATAGATGTAAAGCAAAAACTACAGAAGCCCAGCTCATCAGACTTCAAAGAACAAGTTTTATCAAGATGCCAAAAATTTAAAAAAGAAATATGAAATAGAAAACATTCAAAACCTCTCCCCACCGTCCAGAATCCTATACTCAATCACTCAGGACAGCCCTTGAAAGGCTAAAAAATTACCTGCAGAATGATTGTGCTGCAGTGGATCCTGGGCCACTCCCAAATACAAGGAAATGAGATTGCAGACCAGCTGTGGGAAAGAAAAAACAACCAGAAATCTCGCTACATCCAAAAGACATCAAAAAAATCTGACACACACCCACACTACAAAAAGACATCGGATTTAACAAACTGACACGCAAACAACAACACATTATCTTCAGACTGAGAACATACCACAGCAGACTAAAACAGCACATGTAAACAAAACCATATTGACTGTCAATAAAAAAAAAGTTCAAATCAACTAAAATTATCGTATATACTATTACAATTTAGCTGTGAGATATTTTGTCCGAGATATTTTGTCTGAGATCATTTGTCCATGATATCATTTGACCTAATATATTTTGTCCTGGTATCTTTGGTCCGTGAGATCATTTGTCCTTTAGATCATTTGACTTTTAGATCATTTGTCCTGTCACCTTGCCAGGGCGCCGCCCCTGGGAAGGCGCCACCCATGCGAATTTGAATTTTTTTTCACAGAAACCTTCCCATGACTATTCTCGACAACTTTAAAAAGTTTCATGGCGATCAATTGAAAGGTGTAGTAATTCATAAAAGACAGACAGGCAGACACAGAGAGAGAGAGAGAGAGACAGACACACACACATTGATATATATATATATATATATATATATATATATATATATATATATATATATATATATATATATATATATATATATATATATATATATATATATAAAATGTAAAGGGCTCGGGTGCCTGACAGGGCACTTCCCGTTCCCGCAGGCGCTTCAAATTTGGCAGGATTCTGCCTTGGGGCAATATAACACGAGTGGTGCCGGTTGGCCGAAAAGTCTACCGAGTGGGTCAAAACTGACCTACCTCTACTGACCGACCTCTACTGACCGGCGCCTTATATGAGCTATATCACGAAAAAAACTTGCTGAACGACCCACCCCTTGATATTTTGTGAGATGGTAGAAGAACGCCAAGGGGTGTCAGAAAAAACTCGCCATATCTGGGAAAAAACTAGAAATTGGTCAAAACTGACCAGTTGTATTTCCCTATATAATCCTTGTATTTTATGTGAAAAACAGAGGGCAATTACAACACAAATTTCAGGGTACTTATCGTCTGTATATCTGACTAATTTTGCGTGCAACTCTATAGATGACTAGATATATCTATATATATAATTCTCTTCTGGGAGACGCTAGAAAACAAGCTGTAAGCGCGCTCCCTACCTTCCCACCCTTACATGGTCAGGTGAGCTGTGGTTCACGCTAATGTTTACATTAATCGTAGAGCCTGGTTTAGTGACGGCTATTAGGTGCAGATAATTTAGTTTGAAACGATTTTAAACTTAGGGGAGGTAACTAAGAGGAGGCTGCTTTCATGGGGGGGGGGTGTAGGGTAGGGGTTGGGGGAAAGGAGGGCGGGCATAGTATCGTTCTTAACGACCTACTGATAGTGTTTTAAAGCAAATATTTTCAGTGGCAGCATTGGTACTGTCGAATTCACAAACTATGAATTACTGAAAAGTAGAAAATAAAGCAACTAAATAGCGGCGTATGATATGCCGCGGGTCGGCTCGTATGAATTAATTGACTAACGATTCCCCTTAATATTTCATGAGGTCCTAGAATGACCCTGAAGGGTAACAAAAATTTTTTATCCCGTCGGAAAAACGCCTTAGGGTCGTTAGATTTGTCCATAAGCCATATTTTCTTATATAAACAATTGTTTGTGAAAAAGTAAACAAATACTACGTCATTTTGTCTATGTAAATGGGAGGTAACTTTTTAAAGTAAAAATTTTAAAATAATTTTTATACTATTTTAAAGAAAAAACAAAATTACAATGTATAGCATTTGTTTAAATAGATATGTTGCTGTAAATTAAGTTATGTATTGTACTGAAATTTTTAAAATAAATTTAAACTCAGACTGTTTAAACTTAGGCCCTAAGCACTCCACATAACAGCCAATCACCAATTAATTAATCATTTAAATTCTCAACCATCTTTTTAAAACCTAAGCGAAGCTAGGCAGTATGCCTAGTATATATGTATATATATATATATATATATATATATATATATATATATATATATATATATATATTGTATTTTCTTCTTATTTGTGACAGTCATTCTCAATGTCTCAGCTCCATAGAATAAAACAGGTTTTACTGCTCTTGCCACGCCCATCATTATTTTTTTTGTCTGCATCTGTCCTGCTCTGCTTATCAACAATACTTCCAAGGTAGGTGAATCTATCCCCTTCTTCTAGGGCTTCTTCTGCAAATCTTACAGGGGTGCTGCTTGATGCATTGTCTTTAAGAACTTTACTTTTCCCTCTGTGGATGTTCAAGCCCAGGCATGTAAAAATTAGCAACACTGTTGGTTTTATCTTGCAATTGTTGTTGTGTGTGAGAAAGAAGTCCAAGTCATCCAGTTGGTTCCATATTGTCCACTGTATATGGTTTTGCCTTTTTTCTCTGGACATTTTCATAATTCAGTCAATGGCAAGCAGGAGCAGGAATGGTGAAAGTAGGCAGCCCTGCCTTACTCTGGTCTGTTCAGGAAAGGCCTTTGTAGTCTGTTGGCCATGCACTACTCTACATCTTAAACCTTCATATGAGGACATAATTATGTTGACTATTTTCTGTAGCACCCCATAGTGCCTTAAAAATTTCCACATTGACTGTCTATCCAGGCTATCAAAAGCCTTCTCGTAATCTATGAAATTAATGTAGAGAGATGAGCTCCTCTCTTGGGTCTGTTCAATGATGATGCTCAGGGTAGCAATTTGGTCTATGCATGATCTTTCCTTCCTAAAGCCCACCTGTTGATCTCAAAGTTGGTGGTCTACATTTCCTCCATCCTGTTTAATAATATTCTGCCTGGGATGGACAAAAGCGTTATCCTTCTATAGTTAGAGCATGCGCTAAGATCGCCTTTCTTTGGAAGTTTTATGGGCAGTCCCTCTTTCCACTCCTATGGTTTTTGTTCATCTTCCACATTTTCTTGAAGAGTTTGTGTAGTAGTGCAGTGCTTTTTTTCTATTCTGCTCTCAGTGCTTCTGCAGATAAACCATTTATTCCTGGATCATTCCAATTTTTCGGCTGCTTTTTAAAAAAAATATTGTATTACTTAATTATTATTGTAAAAAAAGTTTGCATTTTGTGACAGTGTAATTTTTTTCTAACAAAAATGTTTTTTTGCCTAAATAATCAAATTAACTATTTTAGTAGTAGGTATTTGCAAGATATTTTTATTGTAGAAAATCTAACAATTTTACTAATCAAAATCAAGCTGCAAAACGGCTATATTGCAAAGGAGTTTTGAATGGGTATTTAAGTACTCTTATCAACAAATTCTACAGAGAGCTGTAATAACCAAGATGACGAATAAGAAGCCCAGAGTTGTACAATAATTCCTTCACAAAATGTTTTTAGGTGTCTTGTTGTAACAGAAAATATGTGACCAGGTCCTTGCAATATCCTGCTGTTGTAGGAATCAGTGGGAAATTGGCCTGGATGAACATTATTCATGTTAATTATCAGCCAAAATTCTTTAAGTTTGAGCTAAAATGGAACCTTTAAGGCAGGTTGAAAGAAAGTGTGAGACCTTATGACTTACACCATTTATAGAGGAGAAAGAAAGAGGTGTTAGGTGGCCATTACCTCATCAAGAGGAACTGAAACTGATGATGGTGGTTTGTGAGATAATATAAAATAGGCTCCAAAACAGATTGATTGCTTTAAGCGTTGCTCTCTATGTTTACATGCTATTCCAAAGCTTTCAAATGGGTACACTAAATTTTTTTTTTTAATGAGTCTGTACATGCTTTTAAATGTAATAGAGTTACCTAATATGATTTTTTTTTTAAATTATATATATTTATCATTTACATTCACTACATTTTGTTTGAAATAGATGACATCTTCAAAGGTCAGTATGGATCTGATCTTGAAAATAAATTAGAGGAGGAAGTTGAACAACTTTTGGACACAAAAGAAAGAATTGGAGTTGCTAAGTTTAAATGGACTAATGGAAGACTTTTGCTTCAACATGCTACTGCACAGCTTGCATATGCTGTGAAACGTTGGCAGGATTTGGGACAAGTACCACAACAGTAAGATTAAATAATGTTTTAAATATATTCTACAGCTTCTTTGTTAGTAGTTGATTTAATTAAATTAGTTGCTTTCATTTACACTCAATGTTTTAAATCTCCTTTTTAAAACAATAGACCATAAAATATGGCATGCCTAACTATTGAAGATGAAAGGTAACCAAAACTCAGATCTACTAATAATTTATTCTTTAATTAATGAGTTAACTTCATTTTACTTTTCTAACCACATTATACAAACAGCTTATAAAAATTTAATAGCTACTTTAAAGTAACAAAATGGTTTATCTATGCTATAGAAATAACCAAGTAAAATATCAGTTGGCAACAGAGACAAGAAGCTATCTTATAGCTGCCAGACAAAACATCATGAGTGCAAAATGGTATCTTAATAATATTCAGGTTTGTTCATATATTCTTTCCTAAATATTATTATACCGCTGTAAGTAAAACTAATAATATCCATTAACATTAAGTTCCAACCTTTTAAAATACACAACTATACTTTTCTTTCCTAGTTTCCTTATTGCGAGCCTGAGGAAATTTTAACACTTGACAGAGCATGTACAAATATATATTTTGACATGCAGACTGAAGAAAGGCATCAACATGCTTTACAATGCTTTAGTGTCACACATAGACGTTGTGCAGCACTGTTACAATGGTTTGAAAATGTAAAAAGTTATTTGACATATTTTATAATTACATTAGTTTATTAGTATTGATATAACCTAAACACATATCACTGAATGTTAACCAGATTAAAAATTCTATTTTAGATTTGGCTTATATTTCACTTCAGGTTATTGAAAATATTATAGAGAAAGACTTTCTAAAAGCAAAAGCTGACCTTTCACCCAAAGAAAATGAACTTAGGAAGGAAAGACTGCGGTTGATGAAGGAAAAAATTGGTGGTGACTTTAAAATCTTGGACAAAGGTAGGTACTGCAGTGCGAATTAAATTTGAATATTCCTCTTACATGTTAATATGCTGGCCTATTATATATGTGTATAACCTTATATGTATATTTACATATAGGCCGTTGTGTATGCATTTATGTACAAGGTGCTTCGAGTTTGATAGACAGATAATGATGAGACAGAAAGACTTAGTCATCAATACATGTATAGTTATGAATGAACGTAGACCTATTCCATATCTATTTTTAAAAACTAAAAGCAACTGACAGAACTCAGATCTTTAAAACACACTTAAGCACAGAGATTCTTGTTAAATACATAATCCAGGGTAGTCCATGTAGTTTGATAGAAGTTCATAGCTATTAAAAGATGTTATTTATTGTAATTACAACTTGGATAACACTGCAATTATATTTAATTGAAAAAGTGGTAAACTCTCTTGTAATATGAAGTTTAATTCCTTTAAAAATTTTAAGCTGCTGCTGAAGTACGTTGTAAGTCAAATTATCTTTTACTTTTAAAATTTGTATGGATATTTTCTTTTTTTAAACTTGCAAATAATAACTTTAAATGTTATCATTAATATCATGGTATTGTTTTAAATGTGTTGGCAATGTTTTTATTATAGCAGGTTGATGTGTTTATTAAACATAATGGTTTTCTACAATTAACAGTTCTTAAATATGTGTTTAAACCAGTGGTATTGTTTAGTATGCTTTATGAGTAAAGTATGTTTTCAGCAAATTATATGATTAAGAGGGTCCAAATTGGGTAAACAAGTGATTAAATTAAATGAGCTTTGTGCGCTGGTTGATCCAGCTTTCTTATGCACATTTATAGTAAAAAAGAAAAATACTTGTTTCCAGCAATAGGAAATAAGGACAGTGCAATACAGCTGTATTTTAAAAAGGGAAATAGGATTGTCTTAATGCTATTACCCTTTATTGGATAGCATCTTATCCTTGCCTACATTAAAGTTATGTGAAGCTCCACTCTTTGCTTGCCAATAGCACAAAATTGGCTATCTATTATGAATTTGTAACTGCAGTCCTTTTTAAATTTTTAAAGGCTTTTATTACATTCATTATATATGTTTGTTTAGCCCCCAAATCTTGGAATATTAATTTCAATTGTCTGATTGAGCAGAAATTTGGCACAGTGGTAGATCTCGAATGACAAATACAAGAATATCTAATTTTAATTTAGTAAAAGGCTTATATTCAAAATTGCTTAGAATCAATATTAAAAATCTAGACAATTTGATAGAGTAATTTTTATATCTCCAAAGGTCTATGCTTTTGTAAAATAAGCTTCCAGTACCTTTATATAAAGGAAAAAACCTCAGCTTATTGAATGTAGGCTACTTAAGTAGTATGAAATAAAGTAAAGTTCCTCTTTAGACCTGTCAGTACATTGGGCAGGGGAAGTGGAGTTCATGTTTCATGTCAGGTACATATCAGAGCTGGTTGCACACTGGGATGTACTACAATTAAAAGTCTGATCGAAATCCAAATTTGAGACCTCTGAGCTAGTAGCTAAATGCTCTCCATTTGACCATGCTATCCTATAGGCAGTAAAATTGTTTTTGATGTCAAAGTTTTAAAAATAACGGAGAACATAAGTTTTCTGCTTAGTGTATGTCAGATTTTTTTTTACAGTTTGCTTTAATTTTTTTAAACAAATTTCTAAGGTTATTAGCAATGTAATAAGAATTTATGTTAATACTAAAGATAATATACCATTTTTCTATACTGCTTACATAATTTTGTAATACTTATATAAAGAGTTTTATTTATTTTAATCTGAATTCAGGTAAGCAGTTCATTGTAAAGTTGTGATACTTAATTGAGTTGTTTTACAGATACACATGAAGAGTTTGAACAAGATATATTACAACATGAACATGTGACTATCTCCAAGCCAGAAGGCGGGGTAAAACTTTTTCACCACTTGTCTAGAATGTTGTTTTATATATATATGTATATGTATATATATGTATATGTATATATATTATATATATATATATATATATATATATATATATATATATATATATATATATATACGTACTATATACACTGGGGATCCCGTCCCTGCGCATTGCTGTGGGCTGATGCAATACTTTAACCCTTAAATGCATGACTTTTTAATAATGATTGAAAAAAATATTTTTATATTGTTTTGGTGGGTATATGAAGAGTATAGTCAAGTAAAAAAATGTTTTTAGTTCAAACATGTTCTTTAATTAAAATCCGAAATGTTGCATGTCTGCAACATTATGTAGTAAGGTAATACTTTTTAAGACAGTTGTTGATCTTGTTACATCAAAGATATATGTTGCACTTGTGGCAAACTGTTTGAGCTTGATGTGAATTTGCACCTGTCATTGCACTATTCAACGAGACTTAGTGTCCACACTGGTCCAGGAGATCCAGGGTCCACACTGGTCCAGGAGATCCAGGGTCCACACTTATCCAGGGTCCACACTGGTCCATGAGATGCAGGGTCCACACTGGTCAAGGATATCCAGGGTCCACACTGGTCCAGGAGATCCAGGGTCCACACTGGTCTTGTAGATCCAGGGTCAAAACTGGTCCAGGATATCTAGGGTCCACACTGGTCCAGGAGATCCAGGGTCCACACTGGTACAGGATATCTAGGGTCCACACTGGTCCAGGATATCTAGGGTTTACACTGGTCCAGGATATCTAGGGTCCACACTGGTCCAGGATATCTAGGGTCCACACAGATCCAGGATATCTAGGGTCCACACTGGTCCAGAATATCTAGGGTCCACACTGGTCCAGGATATCTAGGGTTTACACTGGTCCAGGATATCTAGGGTCCACACAGATCCAGGGTATCTAGGGTCCACACTGGTCCAGGGTATCTAGGGTTTACACTGGTCCAGGATATCTAGAGTCCATACTGGTCCAGGAGATCCAGGGTCCACACTGGTACAGGATATCTAGGGTCCACACTGGTCCAGAATATCTAGGGTTTACACTGGTCCAGGATATCTAGGGTCCACACTGGTACAGGATATCTAGGGTCCACACTGGTCCAGAATATCTAGGGTTTACACTGGTCCAGGATATCTAGGGTCCACACAGATCCAGGGTATCTAGGGTCCACACTGGTCCAGGATATCTAGGGTTTACACTGGTCCAGGATATCTAGAGTCCATACTGGTCCAGGAGATCCAGGGTCCACACTGGTACAGGATATCTAGGGTCCACACTGGTCCAGAATATCTAGGGTTTACACTGGTCCAGGATATCTAGGGTTTACAATATGTAATACATACCTTAGGTTGTCAGAAACATATTTTTTGAAATTCCAAAACCAGTTTATTTGACTTTGATGAACTCTGACACGCCAACCAAAAATGCTGATATAAAAAACCTTGTGATCATGCACAAATTTGAGATCGGCTTGGCGATAAAACAAATCTAGGTCACTTAGACATGCGCAAGCTGTAGGTTAACATTGTAGCAGTCAAACAACGTGATGCACAGAATAAAACATGTTTAGGCTAATATTTTATGGGAAGGTAACTGGTATGTTGCAGATTTGTACCGGTATGCATTTAAGGGTTAAGAATATTTTTTAAGGGCGGGGGGGGGGGGGGGTACATATGTCCCTGGGCGCCGACCTTAGGGGGCGCCAAAATGGGTTGGAAAAACTAATTGATAGTTTGAGGCGGGGGGGGGGAGGGGAGGGGTGCAAATTGAAAGGTTGTTCCCGAGGGGGCGCCCAATTGAAAGTCTGTCCTCGGGCGCCGGGAAGGGACGCTATGCCTCTGGACATCGTTGCCACAGGATCCACAAGAATGGGCTGCACTAAAATATTTTTCATAAACTACACATAATCTGTTGGCCATATTATTGTCACGCAACTGGTCTGGACGTTCCGCCACGGCAGCAGATGTGCTAGCTGAGGATGTCGTTGCATTTATGGCAACCACCATTTCTTGTTCAATGTTCTCAAGATCTTCCTAAGTAACTAAATGATCGAGAGCCTCACTTGGCAGATTTGAAGTGCTAAATCTCACTTTTGCTTTGCATCCAAACAAGTCTTCGTATGGCGATTGTTGAATTCCTTGATGAAAAGAAATGTTTTTCATAAATTGAATGAATTTGCCGAATGAGCTGATTCATTTGTCTGCATCCATGTCATCATTATGTATTGAACATTTTGGTCTGCACGTTCTACTGAACCTTGGATTTGGTTATGATTTGATTCTCCATGAACTGTTTTAAGTTCTTGCCTCATGTTCTTTAGTTCAGAAATATTTTGGCAGCCATCTGGTATGTCCGTCTCTTGGTCTGACGGCCCTTTTGGTCCATGTCGCATTGCATATAGAATGCTATACAAATAAGAGCCAAACAATACGTTACTCACAATGAAACCACACCTAGAATAATGAAAACGAGATCACAACTTAGTCTAGATAGGACATTAGCCAGTACGTCCCGGCCAGTGCACGCATTGGCCAGCCAATGTACGAAATACGCTCTTAGTGCTAAGTTCTTCAAGCTTTGGTTAAGAGAACCGGCCAATGCGCACATTGGCCAGCCAATGCGTGCTTTGGCCACACTTCGGGCTTTGACTGTAACATATTATATACAATAATATTCTGAATGAAGCTTAACTGTTTATAAAAACTTTTTGGCAGGTTGAGAAACTCAACTTAAAAGAGAGTAGTAACCTTCCAGCGGCAACCCCTTTGCCTCTACATGAATTAGCACCACCTCCTACACAGGAAGATCTCTTTGGTAAGTGCAAACCATTGGTGTATGTGTGAGTTTGGGGAGCAGGTGGGCGTATGAAACCATATCTTCTGTTTAGTTTGTGATGGAAGTGTAGCGTCTTCACCAGATCCTAGTCATCTTGTTAGTATAAAGAAAGTTCACTAATATCCACTTGTAAATGGTGGTAAAGCAGGAAAAAAACAAACATCCATAGGTTGTTGAGCCCCAGAGGTGAATGGATGAAGTAAACAGCACTTGTAGATATTTTAGAGAATTATCAAATTGATCAATACATTGTGGAGCCTCCCTTTCCTACCCTTTGCAACTTAGTTTGTTTTTTTAATTTGATTTTTTCTTTCAACGGGGACCACCCCTTCCAATCTAACTCCACCCATCTACCCTCTCCAAATTGGTTCCATTTAGTGAAAATAATTCAATTCAAATATTTTTTAGAACCAGAAGACAGTATTTATGTAGATTCAACATAAATTTGGAACAAAAAATATAAAAACACATTACAATAATTAAATGCATTTAGTGTTGTTGAGGCTTTCAAACAATGATAAAATTACACATTTGAGTGAAAAATAAAATGACGAGCATGATTTCGTCTTATTAAGTTTAAGTGGGTTTTTTTTTTAAAAATATTTATTAACATTAATTTGTTTTTTCAACAATATTTTAACACCTATTTTTTTTCTTGAACTTGTAATATCTTTGTTTCTTGGTGAGTATCAGTGGCGTAGCCAGGATCGTCTCAAGGGGGGGGTTCCAATTTTTACCCGGGGACAAACTTTCGATTTGCACCCCCCCCCCCCCTCAAACTTTCGATTTGCACCCCCCCCCCCCCCCCTCAAACTTTCGATTTGCACCCCCCCCCTCAAACTTTCGATTTGCACCCCCCCCCCCCTCAAACTTTCGATTTGCACCCCCCCCCCTCAAACTTCGATTTGCACCCCCCCTCATACTTTTTATATATACCGAGGGGTCTATGGGGGGGTTATGACCCCCCTAACCCCCCCCTGCCTACGCCACTGGTGAGTATATTACTATGGGGTATTAGATATGAATTACAGTATTATTTTCTATAATGTTATAGGCAATATAGAACAACTGAAAAAGCAGCATGAACAAGAAATGGCTCAAATTGAAAAAGCTCAAGAATCAAACAAGGCTAGAATCGAACAAGGGCTTCAAGAGAAGCTTAGAGAAAGAAGAACAAAAAGAAGTCGACTGCAAGAAGGATAACGATTTATATTATATATATATATATATATATATATATATATATATATATATATATATATATATATATATATATATATATATATATATATATATATATACCCATACAAAACAGATTAACAAAGTACCTACACAAACACACACAACTCAGATGCTATAGGCAGTAGAATATAACTGCTGCTGACTTTTTAGCAAGGAAAATTTTAGTTTCATATCTCAATTGTTTTAGCTATAAAAAAAACAACTTTTTTTTCCATTCAGGGTATTGTATTGCACTTAATTTTACATACATACATATTATGCAGGTTAAAATAATTGAATTGTGGTTTTTTTTTTCTTTATGTATTTTTTTCTTAGATTACACATTAAAAACAACTTTAAGAACGTATTTAAGTTGTTGATTTTGGTAAAAATCTTTCGATTGTAATAACTGCCCAACAAGAAACTGCATAGTTTTTACACACTAAATGGATCATATATATATAAATATATATATATATATATATATATATATATATATATATATATATATATATATATATATATATCATCGTTTCCCGTTATTGCCCAAGACACATGGGGCAGATAAAGTAGAGTTAATCTGCTTCAGAGACCTCGGCATATGAGGGGATATAGTGGCCAGCACTATGCCCATGCCGCTTTTGTTTCCCTAACGTGAGTTAGGTACCCATCAGAACAGGGTGGACTCAGAGACGCCCCACTTATTTGAACCCGGGACTCTCGGTTTAGGAGTCTTATCATATTATCATCTTTTCCTTTTTGTGCCAAAGACACACATGAGGCCACTACAGAAAGCTCTCTCTCCAGTTTCGTCGGTCACTGGCAATTTTCTCGGCATTTCCCAGGACAGTCCTGCCTTTGCCAGCTGTTTCCCTTGGCCTTCCTTGCTTTCTTTTACCTTGAGGCGTCCAGTTTAGCGCCATTCCTGCGATGTCTTCTCGATTTATTCTTATGATGTGTCACATCCATCGCCCTCTTCGTTTTTTTTTCAATTAATTTGGAAACTGTTTCCATTTCCATCTCTCCAAGTAATTAATCATTTGATATAGTTTTATGCCAGTGTATGCCTTTTATCTTCACACGCACTTAGTATGGAAAGAGTCCAGTGATCTGCTGGTGGCGGTTGTTACTTTCTAGCATTCGCTGCCATTCAGTGGGATAGTTCCTTTGCGGACTACTTTTGAAAAGTCTTATTTGGTCGGAGGAATAAAATATAAATATATTGTGTGAAAACCGTACACTTTATTATTTGGGACGTATTTTTTTTAGATATGGATAGTCTTTTTATAAATTTGTTAATGTCGTTTTTAACGATCAGCTGAACTGGCAATGATTACATGTGGTTTTCTAATTATTTTCGATGATAATCGAAATTGTGATTAACACTTTTCTGCAATAGTTTTTGAAAAAATTTGAAAATAATATTTACCTTTAAAATAATTAATTTAAAAATATTCTCGAAGATAAAATAGATATTGTATTTTAAAACATTATGGTATTAAGATTTTAATGTGACATACATATCTCATGAACAATTCCTGTCTATGGATTTTGCTTTTAACTTCTTATAAATAATTCATTTGTCAAATTGTAACTCTAATAAAGCGATATTGTTTTGCATTGTAATTACAGCATTCTTTTAAAAATTATTCAAGTGTAAATCTTCAGTTTTTTTTTAAACAGAATATTATTCTTGGCTTTTACATTTTGTTCAATAACTTCAAAATAATTACTTGTGGTCAGATTGCCTGATGAACCTTTCAATACGAAGCAGTCATCCATTTATGACGTCCTCACGGGGGAGGGGGGGGGTAAAATTGGGGGTTCTGGTCTATGCGGTCGTCCATGAATGACGGCACACTCGTAGGGGGATTCGAGGTCTGCAATTTTGTGACTGGGCCAGGGGGTTCAGATGGTGTGACGTCACTCTTTGCAATTTAAAAAAGTAATGTTAAAAAACGAGTTTTAGCCTTTATTTCGCATTTTAGAAAACTTAATAAATTGTAATAGGAATTGATTAAAATACTCTATGTTGACAGAGTTTGTGACAATGTGTGACAAAGGGGAGGGGGGTGCAGTGGAGTGCAGACCTATGTAGATGCCCGTGGCCAACTCAAAGGGAAGATGCCCCCATAAATACACTATATATATATATATATATATATATATATATATATATATATATATATATATATATATATATATATATATAGCTTAATTACAAAAAAAAATAAAAAATAAAAAAAAATAAGTTGTGTTGGAAGTTAATACGTTAATACACATAGCAAAGCATTTTTTAAAAATTGTACTTATCTTAATCAAGATGAAAACGTTGACTACAGCTAAATCCCAAGGAATGAATGGGTGAAACTTCGGGGCAGGGAGACAATTGGGGGACATGTGATTGGGGGGGGGGGTTGTGATGCACTACAAAAGTGTCTCATCCGGTATTGTATTACCGCCCGGGTCCGCGGCCACAATAAATTGTCCGTGTCTACAATTAGGGCGTCAGATACGCCTTTATTTACGGGCTGCTTCTCTCTTGGCCTGCTCAGGAATTCTAAAATGATGCTAAATACTCTCAAACTATCTGAACCTTGAATATAGCAGAAGTGAACCTTGGCTGGCTAACTAAAGCTGACAGCCCTACCATTCCTTAATACTTTTAAAAAAATCACTTCTTCAACGGACTGTGTTTAAAAATCCACTGTGCTATGTCAGAAACTCCACACACACACCGCATCCCCACATTTCATATGCTCATTAATGCATGAAAATGAATAGATTCTAAAGGATGTCTCTACAATTTAACAACAAAAAAGCATAGGCGTTATTACACTACAAATATATATTTTACCAAAAATACCCCAAAAATTTATAATAATAATATGGGCATAATAACCCTTTGGATGCCTTTAAAATGTATCATAATGAACATGTAGGCCTACATAAATAAACCGGGAGTGATCTCCCCTAAACTTTCTCGAATATCTATATATAAAATTCTCTTCTGGGATCAGTTAGAAAACAAGCTGCAAGCGCGCCTTTGCAGTCCCCTCTCTTCCTCTCTATCACTACCACCCCCACCCCACCCCCACATGATCTGGTGAGCGGTGTTCACTCTGTTTACATTTTACAATCACAGAGACGGGTTTGGTGACGGCTATTAGGGGCAGATAATTTAGTTTGAAACGATTTTAAACTTAGAGGAGGTAACTAAGAGGAGGCTGCTTTCACGTGGGGGGGGAGGGGGGTTTAGTGTTTTTAAGCAAATATTTTCAGTGGCAGCATTGGTACTGTCGAATTCACAAATTATAAATTACTGAAAAGTAGAAAAAAAAACAACTAAATAGCGGCGTATGATACGCAGCGGGTCGGCTCGTTTTTATATAAAATAACATGGGATGGGAACTCGGGCTATAGACATGAGTTTTAATCCATTTTAAATACTTAAAGTTTTAAAAATAGAATAAAATCTCGTAGACAAAAGAATTGCACACCAAGTGAACGCTAAATAAAAAAGTGCATAATAGTGCGCAATATTATTAGTACTTTAAAAATTTACATTTGTTTTTTGAGAAATCGGAAGTAGCGTAAATTACTACTTCCGTTCAACGGAAATGACTCAAAATTTAACAAAAGGTAGAGAATTAGATCTTTTACTTACGTGTGAAATTTCGTTTATCTATCTGAAATAGTACTCAAGTTATAGGCTTTTGAAAATTTCAAAGTAGGAAAAGTACCACTTCCGGTTATCGGAAATCGCTCAAAAAATGATACGGATCTACGATTTTGATAAAATACTTATATATGAAATTTCATTAACCTAGCTGTAACGGTACTCAAGTTATCGTGTTTACACACACACAGACAGACAGACAGACACACAGACAGACACACAGACATACGGACAAGATTGCAAAATTATGTTTTTCCGTATCAGCGAGATGTAAAACGTCGAGATTTGTAAACATCTCGTTTTTTTTTTTGCACGATTACAAGACTTTCTCTATACTTCGTATATACGAGAAAGTAAAAAAGGATGATTGGGTGTAATTACTGTTTCATGCCCTTCGAGTGTATTCGTAGTCCGGATAGCTCCTCTCCCTGACTCTCGCCCAAGAGGTTATATCCAAGGGCGCCACCCCCTCTGCTGCTACTGACATTTGCATATGACATCTCCACGGAAATCCACACCCGGGGGAGGGGGTAAAATCGTCTTTAAAAGCGTGAAGTCATTTATGAATTACCCCATTATGGATATCTACATGTTGAATTTTACATCTAAATTGCTAAATCTATAATATTAGGAAAAAAATATCTACATATAAAATGGATGAATTAAATCGGCAGGTCTTGTGTTAAAAAAACACCAACAACGCATTAATAAATGTATCAGATGTAACTGTATACCGCCCGCCTACGAAAAAGCGGCAATTATTTACAAGCGGAAGGGGGACATTGAACGCGGCATTTTTCTAAAAAAAAAGTCACTGTAAGTCAAGTTAATCTTTAAACATTTCAAAGAATTGAAACATAAGTTTTAAACAATTAGATCTACAAACAGTTGTGCAAAGAGAAATTTTAGCACAAAGACATATATGGACTAGATGAAACATTTATACATGATTGTTATGTCTGCTGTGAGAGAGTCGTATTTGACCTGACGTGATCTACTACCATGAGCATTCACATCACAACGATACTATTATTTTCTTGTTCAATATTTATTCAGCTACTATTCTCGTTTAAATAAACATAAAACTATCCTTAACATCTGCACTACACCGAGTATCTTACATTCAGTGCCGGCGCCAGGTTATTTACAATGAAAACTTATAGGCAAAACTTATTAAAACGCCCCCCCCCCCCCCCACCCAACAAACCACACAGAGTAGGCGCGAACTCATTTCTATCTTGGAATAATCAAGTTTAAAATGTCTTATTTACGCCCAACTAAAATTATGAATTGTGTTCTTTGGCTAG